GATCACTTGAGGCCAGGAGTTTGAGTCAAGCCTGGGCAACATAGTGAGACTCTGTCTTTATGAAACAATTTTAAAAACTCAACTAGGCATCGTGGCACATACCTGTAGTCCTAGCTACTTGGGAGGCTGAGTGAGAAAATAACTTGAGGCCAGGAGTTGGTGGTTACAGTGAGTTACGATTGTGCCACTGTACTCCAGCCTGGGTGACGGAGTGAGATCCCTGTCTTTAAAAAAACAAACAAACAAAAATGAAACAAAACATTTTTATCATTCTGGAGGGTGCAACACAATTTTTTGATCTTTGTCTTGACAGTGTAATTTGACTGGAATCCACAGGCCATTGCAGACCAGAAAACAGAGACATGAGAAAGCAGAGGCAGGAAGAGAGACACCTGACACTTACAGACCCTGACGTCAAATAGAGCATTATCGTTTCTATTTTATAGACAAAGAAAGGGAGGCCCAGGAAACTCAAGTGACTTGCTTAAGACCACATAGCTGGCAGGAGGCAGGACCCGGATTAGACTCAGCTTTCTCCCACTCCTAAACCCCATCAGTATCACACTAGACCTTTGGCGACTCTCTTCACTTTGGCTGCACCCTGTTGTCTGCTCCTCCTGAATCTGTCCACCTGCCATTAAGATCGTGGCTCTGGGTCTCACTTTTCTGCACAAAAATATCAGCAAAGGTGAGCAGGTGAAGTGTGGTTTTCTATTTTATCCTTGCACTGGTTTGCAGGTGAGGAGACTGAGGCTGAGAGAGGTAAGTGACTTGCACAAACACAATACCGACGGGTGGCCCAGCAGACCTCAGGCCTGTTAAGCTGCTGCCACCCAACCTGGTCTGCTCTGTGGCCTCCAGGGCACTTCTGAGAAAAGCAGAAGATGGATTTCTGTTTTATTTCCCAGATATGAATTCATGTTTGGCTTGAGCCATAAGGTGAGAACTGTTTACAAAAGAGTGAAATCTGCGTGTGTGTGTGTGTGTGTGTGTGTGTGTGTGTGAGAGAGAGAGAGAGAGAGAGAGAGAGAGAGAGAGAGAGAGAATGTGTCTGTATACAGGCAGCTTCATTAGAGTGTTCCCAGCATGTCAAACACAGCTACTATTCTTCATTGTGAATTCTAAATTCTCCCTATAGCAGGTCTTGACCACAGCACGGACCCTGTTTCGTATTTTGTGAATGAACTCGTGACAGGTATAAATATTTGTGTGTATGGGGACACAGACACATGCATTCATGCAGGCATTTAGAAAGCGCTCTATCAATGCCCCTGTCTTGAGCACGAATATCTATCGTTAAATACTGAAGAATAAAAGTATTCATTGCTCAGGGTGCTGCCTGAGATTCCTGGAATGTTATGAAATATGTTCACAGTTTAGTTCTAGGTCCTGGATACAACCCAGAAATAGGAGAAAGTAAAGGAACCGGGGTGGTGGGTGTCTGCCCACTCGCTCACACATCCACCCGTCAAATGTTTGCTGAATAGCTAATGTTAACCACGTACTGAGCTGGGTGCTGGGCTGTGAAGACAAGCAAGACATAGTCCTGGTCTTCACAAGGTTTTGGAGTGACAAATCTTGAGACATTTGTATGAGAAGTGCTCTGATTGTGTGTGCACAGGATGGAAACTCCACGAACACAGGGGCATTACCTCTCCTGTTCACCTCTGTGTCCCCTAAACCTGGTATAGTCCCAGGACACAGCATGAAGGTGGGCACGACTTGACTTAGGGAGCCAGGATGGTAAAGAAAGTTAGCCAAGGTGGAAGCTTTTAAGCAAATAAGCTTAGCTAATAAGAAGCTGGGTTTCCATGCATTTACTCATTCATTCATTCATTCATTCATTCATTCATACATTCATTCTTCATTCCCTCGGATGTTACTTGAGCCATTTTCTCTTGCAATGCTTATAGACCAGTAGGGAGGGAAGATGACTGAGGATAAAATTGCAACACAACTTAGAAAATGCTCCACCAAGATCAAAATGGTGTGGGGCTCAGAGGAAGAAGGGCCAAACAGCCTGAGAGAGAGTGTGAGGCTTCCAAAGGAAGGTGGCATTTGAACCACAGTTTGCAGGGCCTCGGAGGGCATGATGTGAAGAAGTCAGTGAGACCATGGGGCCAATGAAAGGGAGCTCCCTGAGCCCCGAAGACCCCAACTCTGGTGAAACTGGCAACACATCCCAACATGACCATGTGTGTGAATGAGCTTTATAAACTGTGAAACACACCTGTGAGTGATCATTGTAGACTGAGCAGAGTAATAGAAATTTGAATGCTTGTCTTGAGCATTCAAGCATTCAAGCTTGTCTTGAGCCACTTGTGCTGCGGCTCCACAAGTGCACGGGGGGTGCTGGCTCTGAGTGGAAGCATTGCCACTCTTGACACTGCAGCCACGTCTAGAGCTTGCCAGCGGCCAGCAAAATCCCCAGATACTGAATTTGAGACAGATGAGACATCATAACCATTTGAGTTTTGTATTCATTCATTCATTCTTTTATTGACTTATTCATTCATGCATGCATAGCAGTAGATCCCTTTCTTCATAATAATCTTTATGTGCAAACGCCATACAAAAACCAACCAAAGTAGGCTTACTACAGTGGAAGCGGAATGGGACCCTGGCCAGGATCCTGTCCCCTCCATCTGCCTTCAGCCCCGCTGACAGCCCCCAGGGTGCTTCGGGACTTCCAGGAAAGATGGCTGGAAAACTTCACCTCGAATGCACAAAGTCAGATCCAAAGGAGGAGAGTGGCTTGCCCATGGTCACAGGGCATGGTGGGATAGATAGGCCTGAGCAGAAAACCCAGCCTCTTGTCCCCACAGTAAGGCTCTTTTCACAGAAGCACCTAGAAAGTTCGGGCTCACAACAGACAAGGAGAGAAACCAAAGTCAACGGGGCGGGGATGGTGGAGTCTGCTCTGACTGCCGCTCTCTGACCGCCTCCCAGGTGGCGTCTGTTCAGTCACTAGGGCTGGAGGAGCTGAGCACTGTGCCTTTGATCCCTTCCTGCTGTGTGATAACCATGTCACCTTGGGCAACACATTCCCCCCTCAGGCTCGGTTTCGTCATCGTCATCTGTGAGATGGAAACATACTGAGGAGATTAAATAAACAATGTGTGTCCAGCACAAAACCCGTGGCCAGTACAGAGTGTGTCTCTGACAACACAGATCTTTGATAAATGCCGTTTCCTTCCCCCTTTTTGCACCAAATGTCTTGACAGAGATCTTTTCCACTTGACCCTATGATTTCAGACTTATTAAATAATTAGTCACAGGTGTCTCTGTGGTCACAGAACAATATTCTCCTTTCTCAGATTACCAGGTCTTTAAAAAGAGCCATCCTTTTGCATGGACCAAAGGCTGTCCCTTGTCCATCTTTGCCTCTTGACTCTATTGGGGGTGGTGTGGGCTCCTGGAACAACAAGTATAACAAGAAGGACCAGGAGCAAGCAATAGAAACTCTCCCAACCAGCCCCACTTCCCCCTCAGCTGGGACTGTTTATGGGAAGAATAACACTAGGAGAACAATATGTGGCTTTTTTTTTTTTTTTGATGGCAAAGAACTGGTCTAGAGAGTGTGGAAAATTTGGGGGACTGTGAAAGAAAGTTTATGAGTTTGGTTTAGTTTTATTCACAACCCATCCCTGAAAACCTATTCTGAGCCAAATCCTGCACTGACCGTGGAGAGTCAGAGCTAGATGAGAACAATGCTCCCCGAATGCCACTGAAAACAGAGATTGCCTGATAAAAATGCAGATTTTGGGCTCCCACCCCAGCAGCCCTCAGTGGCAAGGCAGAGGACACAGAGAGAAGCAATGCTGAACTGGAATCACTGCTCAAGGACCTCCGAGTCTGGTGGGCAGGACAGGCAAGCACTTAGGTGTCACTATGGGTCAGGTGTGTCGACTGTCATCACGGGCCCATTGCCAGTCTACAGAGGAGGCACCTGCCAAGCCAGGCTCAGGAAAGGCTCCTGCTGGGTCTCCTGATTCCTTCCCGACTTGCATACAAACATTGAAATTAAATTCCCACCCGACTGGCTTGGTACTTAACTGACTTTAAAAGGCAAGATACATGGCAATCAGCATTGCAGAGACTGTGATTCAAACGTCACTTGGACAGCAGCTCCTAAGGCCAGAGGTGACCCTCAGAGACCATCCCAACGAAAGAGAACCAAGGAGAGGGTGTTCAAATGTTCAGATGTCGGAGCCTGAAGGATTGCCCTGAAGTTGTCTCTGCTGCCTCATTTCCTGTGATGGTGGCCTTGCTATTTCATTTTCCTTCCCATATCCTGATCTTAAATTGGGGAGGCTCACCCCAGTCTGCAGGGCTGTCATAAAAATTTGGTAAGATGGTGACTAACACCATGGGCAGCTCCTTAGAGCTCAGAAAACATTTGTTCTTGTAATTAATTATTGCAGTGGATATTAGATTTCTGACCCATCCCTCTTCATCTCCCTCTGCAGAAACCCAGAGAGAGGATGAAGACTGGCTTTCCAAAGACAAATGGTCACTTAATGGAAGTATGGGTTTCTGTTTGGGGTCACCCTGTTCTCAGTCTTGGGTTCCCACCACTCAGGCCAGAGCCCCCTGGGGCTGTCTTCTCAGGAGCAGTTTCCTTCTTCCAAACACAGATGGTCTGAAGGGCTCCAAAGAACTCATTCCAAAGGGGATAATCCCCAGGTGACTTCCAGGATTTCTGCCAGCTGGTTTCTTTTTTTTTAAAAGAAAACTTTTTAGGTTTCCTTTTAATCTGCTTGCCTATATTAACTATTTAAATAATATTTTTTAAAATGTATACATAGGGACAAGCCATAAAACTGCACCAACAGGATCCTAGATTCCTTTCCCCACGGGCAGCCCATCCTTGGTTCCTTGTTTCTTTGTGGAATTTCAGAGCAGTCGATGCCGGCAACGATGACGCCACTGGCTTGACCAAGAGGCTAACCAGGTGGGTGCAAAGTTCGGTTTGACAAGTCCCTTCTACAAACGTGGCTAGTCAACACAGTAAAAAACAAATGTTTGACCGTTTGTCTTATCTACACAATGAAAACAATTCCTTCAATAAATCTTCCTCCATTAGCTACTGCCCCTAAGTGGTCACTGTCTGATCCTGCCAGTGCCCTTCACCAGTGTATCTTGGGCACCTGCCGTGAGCAGATGGAGCGTCGGGCACTTGCCCACGTTCGTCCTCACTGAGGCCTCACTACCCCCATCTCGCAGCTGGGGAAGCAGGCGGCGTGGCCGGGTGGGAAGCCAAGTCCCCCAACCGTGGGTCCAGTGTCCTTTCCCTGCCCCAGTAAACACCCCTAGCACAACAGAACTGACCGGCCCTCCGAGCCATGTTGACGGCAGCCCAGCTCAGCGACCGTGTCCATCAGCAATTTCTCGGCAGTCACCCCCTGGATTGATGCTGCACCCATTAAGGGCAGCTGTGGTCAGACTGGATGTGCCTGTGGACCCAGAATACTGATGACCTGATTTCTCCCAGGAGGCTCTCAGCTTCTGGGAAGGACCTGGCACAAGGTGAGGGTGGCAATGTGAGTCCTGCCCCCATCTGAGCCCTCAGGGAGGTATGTACCGACTGGGTTCCTTTTGCAGGAGAAGAGAAGATAACAAAGTCAAGATGTAGTGCCATGAGGCTCTACCAGAAGCAGTGTCCTGCAGGGGCACAAAGGTTCAGAAGATTGAGTGGGGCTGAGCTGGGTTAAGACCCCTCTTCTGGCATTTTCTGAGTGAACTCTGTGACATTAGTGCTGGCTTGGTGTCTCCAGGGCTCCATTTCCACAACTGGGAGGGGCTACTAGCAACAAGCTTTCAGGGATGGTAGTGAGGGTTAAAAACCATGCCTCTACCGAAAACTATATTCACATTCCACTCTTGACCGCCAGACACCAGGCATGGAGCTGGCTACACCCGCATTTGTGGTGCAGGGAGGTGGTGAAGAGAATGGGTTCTTCAGCTGGGCAGGCTGGGGTCAAGTTCAGGCAATGACCTTGAAGCAGCTTATCTATTTATTTATATCTTTCTTTCTTCATTTTTTTTTTCTTTTTTGGCCCTGGCTGGAAGTTTTGCTTTCTCTTCCAAGTCACACTACACCTGCCTAGTGGGAAGGCTCACTCTGCTTTTGGTAGTCTCAATGCCAATCTCAAAAACAAATATTTTAAGCTCCACTTACATTATAGCAAGTGCAGGTGAGGACCACAGGCTTTCTGGTAGACAGGCGTGAGTTCCCATCCTGACAATACCACTTGCTAACACATAGTGCCTTGGACAAGAAACAAATGTCTGAGGCTCAGTTTCCCCATTTGTAAATTAAGGATATTAACTGGCTGAATTCTCGTGGAGTGCAAGTGAAATCGCAGACACAAAGTGCACAGCACGGTGCCCAGCTGGTAGCAAATGCTCACTGAAAGGTGCTTTAGCTGCCAGGCGGGGTGGGGAACCTGCGGCCTTAAGGCTACACGTGGCCTTCCTGGTCCTTAAATGCAGCCTTTTGACTGAATCCAAATTTTCCAGAACAAATCCTTTTATTAAGAGGGGTGAAGCAGAGAACGATGAAGCTCTTCTTGCCTCCTTTGGTGCTTAAAAAAGAAAAATCTTGAAATCAGAAGGCTGCAAGCAGGTAGAAGGATCAGGTGCTGGATCAGGCAGTCTGGAATTTTAAGACAAGGACTAGTCCTATCCACCAAGACACCAGAGGCATCCAGATCTGGCTCACTTCCTGCTGCACAGGCCCGCTGTGAGGGCAAGAAGGATTAGTGCACAAGAAAGCACTTTGCCAATTGTAACATGCTCTGTGAATATCAGGGCAAGTTCAGAGCTCGGAGTTGTTATCATTTGCACGGTTGTTCTTCCTCTTCTGGAGGGCTGAGTCTCTAATTTCAAGACCATCCTGGCACCAAACGGAAGCCCAGTTCCCCACAGCTTGTGGCTCAGTGCATGGCACATGGGTGGGGCCCCCTGAGTGTTTGCTGAGTTGCGTGTGTCTGCTGGGTGGTGCTAGATTTCCTAGGACTCTGGGCCCCCTGCACTCTCTGTGGAGTGGAACTGCAGTACACGTCAGCCGCGGCTGCTCCTGCGAATGGTACACACATGTGCACAGTGCTTTGCCAACTTTAGAACTTTGCACATGTTCGCTAATATTATTATCTGCCAGGGGGGTCCCAGATATCATCTACTCCTTCCCAGGAAGGAAAACAAATGGTTATCTGTATGCAATATCCTTCATCTGGTATTTTAAATATGCAGCTTGCCATGTTTTTAGGAAGAAATAAAAATTAAACCATCTCCAGGAACACTCTTTTTCCCCCTCTCTTTAGATTTACTCATTTGCACAATGTCCTTCAATTAAACCTAAAATCAAATCATGTTTCCCTTGAGTGGTCATTTTAATATTTGCAAGTTGCCTGGGAAGAGAGATTAGGGGGAGTGACGGATTCTGCGAGCCATCTTCTGCCTCAGGAGACACACCCGGGCATCAGCACAGACCAGTCAGGGCCCTGGAGCAAAGCGTGGGCCACACGCTTGGTCCCTCTCCTGTGCCTTTTCCTGGAGACTCTGGCCCAGACACAGTCTCTTTCTTTAAATATTCTAGTCTGAACAGCTGCTGGCTTCTAGAAGGCACTGTGCCTTGGATAGCCTGCACTTGTTCCATGCCACTCCCTCTGTCGGGGACACTCTCTCCCCACATATTTGTTCATGCTCCTTCCTGGACTCTGAGCAGGGCATGTCTGTCTTATCTCCCCGGGATCAATCCTCAGGCCTCTGATCAGACCATCACAATTCTCCCCGGGGGCACTGCCTCTCCTACATGCTTTCCAAGGTGCCACACGTTCTGCCCCCACGTCTTTCCTTCTATCACGCGCTCTTCTCCCAGTTGCTCCCCAGGGTCAGGCCAGAGCCCTTCTTGCTGCTCCTGAAAGCTGTCAAGCCCTTTGCTAGCTCAGGAGCTTAAAAATGTATCTTCCCTCTGCCCAATTCCCTCTGACCCCAGAGGCACCTGGCTCAGGCCTCAGTGCCTTCAGCTTCTGCAGGAATGTTGTCTCCTTCTTACTAGACCTTCCCCCACACCCCTTGTTAATACAGCAGCCTCGGCCCCCTCCCAGCACTGCACCCCACTCCTTTGTTTATTTCCCCAGCACTTGTACTCACTGCGTTGGTCCCACCCCGGTTTTCACTCATTTGCCAGCTCCCAGAAGGCAGGGAGTTCTGTTCTTTCTGTCCTGATGCGTCCCCCTCTTCCCTCAAAGCAGTGGTGGGCTCACAGTATTCCTTAATGAATGTTCAGGAATAAATATCATTTGGAAAGGCTGATGCATTCCCTGCCCCCATTCCTCTGAGTCCAGGGATGGGCACAAGGCCCAAGCCTGCCCAGGCAGCATCTTCCACCCTGTGATAGCCAAGATCGGCCCAGAAAGACACAAGACCCAAGCCAGGTCAATGACAGTTGGCCCGGGACTATTTCTGGGGCTACTGGGACATAAGCTCTTTTCTTCTTTGGAGTTGCTGAACTGGTAAAATGTGGGCTCCCAGCTGTGGGAGGCCACTTTATGATGACTTAGGGACACATGCCAGAGGCTGAAGCTTGGTGAAAGCAAGGAAAACCAGGAGATGGAGAGAGACCTACCTCAGGGTCTTTGACCTGGCCTTTCCCCCTACTAATTCCCCTCTGCCCACCCATACCTGAATCTCACCTCTTCACTCAGGCCAGTAAAATCCTTGTTTTGTTGAAGCCAAGTTGAGTCCAGATCAGCCCCTGGCAACAGAAGGAGTCTTGACTAGTTTCAGTGAAAACACTACCTCCCTGGGGAAGCTCTTCTCTCCTCCAGGAATATCAGGTTTACTTCTTCCTCCTCTCTTTGCTTGCACACTGCACATCTCTCCTGGATGGCTCTCAGCATTGTGTTGCATTGTATTATTGGTTTATCTGAGTCCCCACCAGTCTGGGCATTCTTTGAGGGCCAGAAGCACATACGAGTCTTTTCTAGATGTTCCATGCCTAAAACAGTCAGGTCCATGGATGATGCCCAATAAATATTTGTTAAATAAACAGTTGAGTTAGTGAAATCAGCTTGTTCCATTCCCCTGCCTAAGTCTGGTGTTCATCTATTTTCAAACATATCCGACCCAAACACCTTTCTTGGCGATGGGCTTCAGGAGACTTCTCCAAGAGTGCTGTCTTCCCAGGTGTGTGGCCTCTTGAAGAGCCGACCAAGGACAGGTGAGATGGCTGCTTTATTCCCCACCATACACCAGCCCATGTCCTTTAGGGAAGTGGCATTTCAAGCAGATTAAGTTCAGCAAAGAGCCCCGCAGTGAGTTAGAAATTCCTTTTGATAAAAAAAAAAAAACCTTTTATTTCAAACGCAGAGAGGCCAGGAGTGAGTTTATGTTTTTAATAAGCTGTTCTGTATTCTGAATTTGATTTTATTTTTCAAAGTGGACGAAAGGAAAACTGGGGATGGGGAAAAATCTATTAACTATTAATATTTGTCCACATGGCCAAAGCGCAGCAGGTGGGAGTGAGAGTGGGTGACGTTTAGGGGTTCAGGGGATGCTGCAGCCCCCAGATCGCAGATTAGAGGGCCCTCGGGGTGAAGGCAGTGGCTGTCTTATTTTGAACAATGGAGCAATGGGAAGCTCCTGGCTTGGAAGCCGCCTGTGCCTTTTCCGTCTTCTCATGGCTCGACGTGAAGATGGCCCCATCTCCAATTCCAGGAACCCTCGTTTCAGCCTAGCCGGGCAAGGGCCTGATGGTATCAGCAGCCTCCAGCGGAATTGGAAATTAATTCACGCCCCTAGCATGTCTCCAGGCATCCTCCACTCTGTGCTGAATTATTCCTCCGGAGGAAAGAAGGAATAAATACTATCGCCTGTCCCTTCATGGTATTTTTCTTCCTCCTGGGAAGGGAACATCCTCTGCCATCCACACTCACCTGCTCTGTCACCTAGGAAGTCCAAGCACCGTGTTTGAGCTTTCTGGCACAAACAGCTGGCACAGAGGATGGATGGGGGCAAGAGCTTGAGGCCCCCGGCACTGGATTCTGGAGACCGTGTCCTAATCTCATCTCTGCTTCTGACTTTGTGTGGTCTTGGGAAAGCCTTGAGCCCCCTTCATGCTGGTCAGGTAAAATGCTGAACTGGTGGGTGACCTGTAAGCCCCTTCCCAGTGCTGATGTTTGATTCCCTGTGGGATTTCTGTCTCATGTCTCAAAAATTTGAGTTTTTATCTGTTAGCAATAGGAAGAGAGAACTGATACTGGGTTAGATAAGATTGCCATGTGAGGAGTTGGCTGGTCCATCCAGGCACTTGTAACTTGTTTGACTCTAAGGGCCTGGCTTGGGTGTGTCCTCTGCCCCGCCGATTGCAGCTTGAGTTGTCCCCATTAGCTCCTGGACCTGCTGAGCTGATTAGCTCCCTAGCATCCATCAGTCCCCCGCTGCAAATCCTTCCTGGTCACTGCTGTGTAGGCTGCAGTCCCAGTTTTCATATTTGGTTTATCAATGTCTTTCCTGGCTGGACGCAGCCTGCTTCCAACCCTGCCTCATCTCAAATCTCATCTTCTGCCTTTTCCTGAGCAGGTCATGTTTATTCAGGCCTCTGCATTTAAATACACTGGTCCTTTGGCTGGGAGCACCCTCTCTCCTCCCCTCTGCTCGACAGACTCCTACATGTCCTGCAATAGCTGAAATATCCATTTCTCTCGGATTCTCTTTCTGATCTCCAAACACATCGAGTATATGCAGCTTAATTTCCACAGCATGGCTCATCTTCCCTAATATCCCTGACATATTTATTGAAAAGAGTTTGGCATTGAGCTAGAGATAGATGCAAAAACATTGCTCGTTATTCCAAGACCGAGACACAGATAGACAATTATGGCGCTGTAAAATCAGGGCTTTGGTGGAGGAAAGCGTGAAAACCAGTGGGAGCGCAGTGTGCCTGGCATTCCCGACTGGACTGCAAACATGGGCTTACGTGCCGTCCCTTGCCCTCACTAGACTGTGATCTCTCTGTGGGTAGGGGCCGGAGTGATCATCTCAGCATCTGCAGCGCTCAAACCTGGCGCACAGTAGGTCTCATCAAGTATTTGCAACGTGATGAGTGGATGAGACGTGGAGCTCCGGGTTTGGGGAGGGGTCGCCTGCACAATGATTAATAGTGCTCCGTAGGTCCCCTCTATGGGTGCACAGCGGCAAAGGGATGGGAGTCCCTCAGCTTCCCGACAAATGCGCAGACAGTGAGGGTGAGAGTAGGGACTGAGGTGGGGGGCATGAAGCTAATTTCCCCCCTTTTTAAGGAAATGCATCCCAGAAATCTCTCAATTCCTCTGAGGAACCACACACGCACGCAGCTTAGAGTTAAATCATTTGTATCCACACGCTCTAAATATATACGTAGAAATAATGCATATATGCATGCTTCTATAATTTATCTCTACTAACTAGACATTGAGAGTATTTGCATCTACTGAAAATACATAAATTATTTGTTTCCTTCAATTATAGATGGCATATTTATAACAAGCACACATAAATTGTGAGTGCATGTTATAAATATATAATCCTGTTTGCTGACATTTATCAGCCATATGCTGTGTGCCAAGCTCGGTGCTAGCACTTTGCAGTCATTATTTCACTTCATCTTCACTGTTGTCCCGTGGAGAAGATGCGATGCAGTGGTTTTCAACTTTCTCTTTTTAAACCAAACTTATTTTTAAAATAAAATATTGTGTGGGAATTTCAACATATAGAAGAGACGAAAGCTTTGCTGCAGACCTGGAGACCTTCCTGCCTCCCTCTATCCCCGCCCTCCATGCCAAAGAGGAGGAGGCAAGAGGACTGGATTCCCGGGCTGGGACACTCTACCTCGCCAGCTGTGTGATCTGGGGTAAGTTGCTTAAATCTCTGAGCATCGGTCTCCTTACCTCTAAAAATCTCCAAATGTTAATTATGAGAATTCAATGAGATAATACATTATAAAAAAAGACAAACATCCTAATTCGGTTCCTGGCACATTGTGGGCACCAAATATGTGTTGTCTGTTTTAGGTTGAGTTCCCCAGAAGCAGATACTGAGATAATTCATGTGAAAGTGGTGTATTAGCAAGCGTGCACTAAGAACATTGGTGCAGTTGTGGGGCAGTGGGCCTGGGTAGGGGGGAGGAGCCCAAGCAAGGCTGTGATGGCAGGCAGAGGCCCACGAGGGGTGACTTTGGGTCAATCCTGCAGGGCAACCCTCAAGTATGACCTACACCATCCCCAGGGTTGCCCTAGCTGGGGGCTGAGGGAGCTGGAATATTGATACTCCTGTATCCATCCACTCAAGCCTGTTCCCAGATGCTCTGCTCAGACCAGCAAAGTGGGCTCCGGCTGCCTCGGGGCAGACTTCCATCAAAGGGACGGGGCTATGTGGGAGCTGCCGGGAGTGAATGCACCCGGAGCTGGCATGCCTTCACATGGTAAAGCTTGCCTGGGGGATGCGGGCAGAGCACTGGCAGTGGCTGCCACAGAGTCCTAATATGTTACGATGTGCAGGAGACCCTGGCACTGTCTAAAAGCAAGGTTTTGGTCATCATCGGTGCCTTTGCTGGACGGAGTCAAAGTGCCAAGTACAAGCAGAGCCCTCCTTCCCACCAACTCGCTCCCTGGAGTCCAGCAGCTCCTTCTCTTTAGAGGCTTTCCTAGCAACATGGTGCAAAATTGTGTGTGTCTGGGTACCAGGTTCCCTCAGCACAGAGCACCAGCCCTAGGGTGCTGGGGACACACCCATGCCTTTTGCTGCAGATTAGAACCAGGAGGGAGCATGTTTCCAAGACAGATGTGCCCAGAGGACAGTGACCAAACACGCTCCAGGACCATAGGCCTCGAGGTGACACTTTCCTGAGGGCCAGTCCATGTCACATCCCCGGACACTGCTCTATCCTCTCATCCTCATACACCAGATCTTGGAGGCATTTTGGTGTTTTCATACCCATTTTCTGGATGGAGACTCTGAGGCTCTGAAAGGTTGTGCAACTTCCCCCAAGGTCTCAGAGCCAGTCAGAAGCAGGAATTCCAGCACCCATCTTTCAGGCTTTCCGTCACCTGCCCTTCAATTAACTTAAGAGATGCGGGAGCCGGGAGGCAGCCTCCAACATTGCTAATTAGAAAGAGACTGCGGGGATTTTAACAAATCTGGAGAATGAACTCTGAGATCACCAGGTGCTGCCCCTGGAACTTGTCCAGCTGTCCACACCTGGAAGCGAATGAGACTTCAAGGAGGGACAGTCCCTTTTGTCTACTGAATTAACCTATGTCATTCTATTTCCCGCTCAATTCCAAGCTGCGGTGCAGCAGCTCTAATTAACACTCAGAATCAAAGACGCATCCAGCGGGACCGTGCCGAGGACGTGTGCACATAGCTTATCCTCTAAACCCAAACCTAATGCTAATTAGCCCCACACGTTCTCCAAGGGGCTTGTCTGCCAATTTAGAACCTGGTGATGAGCTCTATCTCTGCCTAGCCTTGGAGATAAAGGACAAGAATCTCTTCATCTCCATTATCAGTGTCATGCCAGCAGCCAGAGGGGACTGCGGAACCATCAGTGACTCCCCATTGCCTGGCAGAGCAATTCCAAGTCCTGCACAGAGTGACTCTGCCTGGTTTGCTGGTCCACCTCCCACCCCGACAAGATGGGGCTAGGTCTGTGGACAACACTGCCAGCACCTAGGAAGTACCACTGACCTCGCCCCCTACCAGACCGACCCCAAATGGAGATGTGCGTTCCAAGGATTTGTGCGCCGAGAGGGGGCACAGCAGAGGAGTGTGGGGGTGGCAGCTGGGAAGCCCACAGCCTATTCCTGGCAGCACCACTGTTTTCCCTTGTGAAGTTTGTCATAAAGTCTCTGTACCTCAGTTTCCCTAGCTGTAAAATTGGGACCTAACCCTTATAAAAGCCTTATCTCAGGATGGCCATGAGAATTAAATTAGAGTTAAAGCACATACAACACTTAGAAGAGGAAAACAGGAAAAACCCGCAATGTTAGTGTTTGTGCCTACCTGTGATTTCCTTTCCCATTAAACTTTGAGCAGGGACTGAGCCTATATCTGTGCACCAGGATGTGCTAAGACTCCAGGCTCCCAGATCACAGTGGTCACCTCCTTAGTAGCTTCCTCTGTCATCTCTTGCCTCCTATAACCTTGCATTGTGATGTCTTTTAAAAAATCAATCTAAGGATACCACTCTCATTATGTGGAATTTTATCCAATTTTATCTTACTCATAAGAGCCCACCTAGCCTAACCTCTGACGACCTGTCCTACCTCATTTCTAACCACACACCACTCGCTTCATGTTTCTGCAGCAGCACTGTGCTCCTTGCTCTTCCTGGGACCCGTGAGCATGCCTCTGCCTCAGGGCCTTTGCACCTGCCACCCTCTCCTGGATCCTCCTTCCTGCAGGTACAGGTTGCTCATCAATTCTCTCATCTTTCAGTTTAAAGCTTGCTTCATTAGAGAGGCCAAGTGCAATATGTTCACAAGACAAGACAGGGTGACCGGGAGATTCAAAATCACGGCTTAAAATAATAGTTGATAAGCAGAGGCAGCTTAACCCAGGCAAGAGGACTGGGTACAGCATTGAGATTGTCACTAAAACCACAGGGGGACACACCTGTCAGCTCAGTCTGAAAGAGCCACAGTCTCCCGTCAGGTCAGACCTGTCCAGCGCCAAGAGATTTGCAAGTGGAGCCAGAGGAACTGTCAGGCGAGAGAGTTCAGCCGTTTTGACTGGAGTGAGGGGGAGGTGAGTGTTCAATTTAGTAAAATTCCAAAGTGGAGGTTATGGGTTTCCTGACTTTTCTCCTATGTGTGTAGGCGCCTTTGTTGTCTAAGACGATGGTCCTTCTGCACTCATTAAACTGAAATAGGAATATCTGGTTCCAGGGTGTTTCAGAACAGTTCATAAGACAGGGAAATCTCTGATCCGGAGCACCATATTGCAGGACCTCCCTGACCTCGGCCCCTCCCTGCCGTGGGCTCCTGGGGCACTTGCTCCTGGGTCTGTCCTGGTAATTGGCACAGTGCATTCTAAGGATGTATTTGACTCCTCCAAAAAATGAGTATCTTATGTGTAGAGTCTGAGTCTCAATTCTTTCTGCACCCCTCATCGAGTTCAATGCGTGTGTGTGCGTGTGCAGGTTAGTATGCGTGTGCAGGTTAGTAAGCAAGATGTGTGAAGGGTGATCAGGATGCATCTTTTAAACCTTAGGCAGTTGAGGTTACTGTGGTCAGACCCTGAATGAACACTCGCGTGGGCTTATCATTTTTCTGCTCATGGAATAGCAGATGTGCCTGTATCACTTTAAGTCTTGATTTAGAAATCCCATGTAATTCCAGTCCTGTGTAATTACTGAAGCTCTCAACCGCCTCGGTGCTAAATCTTCTCTTTTCTCGTAGCTTGGGTCAGTGTCAGGGTGAAGCTTGCAGTGGCAAACAGGGGTGTGGCTGGCTTTGTTCCATCTCTGCCTGGCCTGCTTCTGTTTCTACTGCCACAGTTTCTGATGTGCCTTAGAAAATAGATAGAAATAGATCAACAGAAAAGGTCTCCTTAGAACTGTCCCAGACACAAGCTGGCTTTGTCCCCTCAGGCTTGGCTATTGCTCGAAGCTGATCCTTTCTCCTGTGTGCTCTCTAGAAGGCCCTCCATGGCCCCCTGCACCCGGCAGACTCAGGAAGTCTGCCCCCTGCTTCCTGTCCTCCAGCCACTAGGTGTTCACCTGCAGCTTCCTTCTTCTCCTTGTCTTTCCCACTGTCCACAGAGAAGGCTGCCCTAAGCTGCCCACTCTGGCTTATGCTTTGCAGAGTCACTGACCAAAGGGTCAGGCTTATGCACCCCTTCCCCCTCCGTGAGCACTCCTATTGCGATGCAGCAGTGCACGCACGGCCCGCACCTGAGCAGTTGGTCATCTTCTTTAATCACCTAGGCAGAAGTCAGACCGAGTTTATCTGGCACACAGGACAGCATGGAAAAGGTACCCTCAAGCCACCTTGAAGCCCCTCTCTCTGGAGTTGGAGGCAGAAGGTAACATGTAGCCCAAATAAAGGGATATGGACCCCCACACTGTGGATGCACATCACTCTCTCCGGAGAAGTTTCTCCATCAGTCTCTTCTCATTTTCTTTCTGACCCTGATCCTTCCAACTGAGGGACCCAAAGAGCAGTGGAATGGGCTTTCCCTCATTCCTCTTGTAAATTCTGAATCTGCATGTGTTTCTGTGGGTCCTTTACACACTCTCTTTGGGGTCCTGTTGGGTCTAGTCCAGGCAAGGAATTTAGACGGAGGCCGGAAGAGTCCCACAGGAACAGCCTCTGGCTTGTAGGATCCACTGTGTGCCAGGTCCTTGGTGGTGAACGGGGATGGGGAGGGAATGAGGCCAGGCTGGTGCTCTGGAGGAAGAACGTTCATTCCAAAGGGGGGCGGTGGGGCACAGGGAGAGAGAGGAGAGAGAGACTCTTTAATCAGCCAATGTGTACTGAGTATCTCTAAGAAGTCAGATATGATACTGTGTTCTCTACATGTACAGGTCCCTGACATTTAAGATGACATCGGGAGTTATTTGAAGGTATAGTCAAGATTTGCTGACGGATTTGATGTGGAAGGTGACTTTAGGGCTTTGGACTGAGCTCCAAAAAGAGAATAAAATTGCCGCTAACTAGGATGGGGACAATTGTGGGAGGAGAGAGTTGGGAGAGAGGTGGAAAATCAGGAATTTTGGACAGGTAAAGTTTGAGATGCTTATTAGAAATACAGTGGAGAGATTTGTGTTTGAGGGAGAGGTCAGACCTCTCCAAATAAAATGGTGGGTCATCAAGGAACAGATTGTACTTAAGTCTTGAGGTGCTGACCCAGCTGTTGTGTATAAGGAGGGAAGAGGTCAGGGAATACGGTCTGCGTCATTCCATGTTTGTTGACAGCTGACATAGGGAAGGGTTGGCAAAGGAGGAGTTGATAAGGGAGGAGAACAATCCTCCACTCTGGGCTTCTAGAGTGGTGTCCTAGAGGCCAACTGCAGAAAGGGTTTCACCAGGAGGCAGTGATTAACTCATCAAACGTGGTTGATACATTGAAATATTACAAGACTGAGGCATGACCATTGGATATAGCAATGACCCAGTCACTGGTGTCCTTGACAAGGGTTCTTTGGTTGCATTGGTGGAAATGGAGTCCTGGCTGGTTGGAATGAAATAGGGAATGGGAAAAGGGTGAACACACAATTCTTTCCAAGAGGGAAGAGGGAGATGTGTGAAAAATAAAATATAATATAGTGTATTAACCTGTTGATTAAAATGATTATGCAAGAGAGAAAGATGAGAATGGGGAGAAGGTATGGGATGTAGGAGAAGAATTAGCTGCAGATACGAGTATAGACAATTGGTAGCAGCAGGAAGGCAGAGGTTATGAGTACAGGTACAGGAAGGGAGGTACAAGTGGTGGTGGCAGTACATGGAATTTCTCCTCTAATTGTCTCATTTTCTCAGCAAAGTAGCAAGCTTAAAGTAAGAGTGGAGAGGAGGTTTGGAAGTTTGAGGAGAGAGTAGATACGGAATAGTCTTCTAGGAAAGAGAGAGGTTGGATTGATGTGGGAAAAGTCTAGGATTGCTGGGCAGCCTTAAAGGCTCACTTGAAGTTGGTGGTGGTTACTTTAAAGTCAATATGGCTTTGAGTTTTCCTCCAGTGACAATTGCTTGGGTTCAGGGAGAAAGAGGTAATGATGAAGATTTAACAAGGGTTGGAGTTTTTCCAGTAAAATTTAATGAAAGGCAAAAAGGGTCAGGGAGAGAAAAGTAAATGACAGGGATGATCATGATGATGCCCTGTGACATCTACACTAGGTTGGAGGGAAGTGGCTGCATGAGTGATGTGAGGATAAATAAAAACCCTCCAATGGTAGGACCAATGGATCACGGGCTGTGTTGAGACCAAAGACTTGTTGGCATTAATGTACTGTACAGAAGATGGAATGACTAATATTTAAGAAATGTGGGGATCTGAGCAAAGGATGCCCAGTGTTGAGGTTCTACAAGGTCTAGGGTTGCATAGGAGGTTGGAGAGGAAGTCAAGTTCAGAGGCCATGGTCATTACCTAGGAAAGGCATGATGATGGCTTGGTTTGGAATGGCAAACATGAAGACAGAAAAAAGCATACAGAGATGAGTAAGCCAATATGGCCATGAGAGTCCATGCAGTGTGGTGGTTTCAAGAACTCCAGAGTCTGACTCCATTATTTACCAGTGCTGTGATCTTGGGCAAATATCTCCAAATGTGATGTGGGTTAACGATAGCACCTATCTCATGCTCTTGTCATGAAGATTAAATGAATTCATGCAGGTAAAGCACTTGGCACAGAATAAAATACCAGTAATTGCTAATATGATGTAGCTCCTTGGATGGGCCCACTGTTGTGGACCCCATTGCTCCAGCAGAGGTGCCTGCTCCCCGGGGGTGCATATTCTATGAACAACTGGTGTTTTAGGCAGAAAAATGGCATGGTAGGAGCTAAGTTTTATAAAGATTATTCTGTTCACTGCAGGGAGAATGGTTTGTTTTGAGTTTTAAATAACATTAAAGAAGGGCTTGAGACTTTGGTATTTATGGAAGTGGGGCAAGCATCGTAAAGTATACAGAAACCAAGACCTGCCACAGGAGAAGGTGCTCCTGGCTGTGGTTTGCAGGGGTTTGCCCGACTCTCTGCCTGGAAGCTGAATCTCTAACCACTGCTCCTGCCCAGCTTCGGGCATGGAGTTCCCTGAGCTGAACCTCATGCCTTGGTTTATGGGAGAACTTTCTTCAGGAATGTGTTCCCCACCCATCCTCTCAACACTTTATTTGGCCACACTCCTATCCATCTTTCAAAACTCAGTTCATCTGTGCAGCCTTCCCTAGGGTCCAAAGCTTGGGTGATTCCCAGCTGCCCTCTGCAGTAGGATCCCAAACTGGTTATATTTACTGTCTTTATAGAGGGACGGCCCATAAGACTTAAGCTAAGGTTTTCTTCTCTTAGGGATGAAGCTGACCTTTAAAATCCACTGGCCATTTGGCTCTCTGGCCTTGGAGGAGTCCAGTCACCATCTCTGCTCAGGGGACACGATGGCTGGCTCTTTCGGTGCACACGCTCAGTGATATTTTTGAGATGGCAGAGAAGAACACAGGGGCCTTCTGGGAGGTAGAAGTCTAAGATCAACTTCTCTTTGTGTTACAACATTTTTCTCAGTTTCTGGGGTATTGAGGACAGTCAGTGGTCCATTGGCAGGTCCCTTTTTCCAGAAGCTTCTATCAGATTTCCCACCAAGGCCCAAGGCCCTGACTCACAAATATAATGATTTTTTTTTCTCTCTATGAGTCAAGTTGGAAATGATAAATCGTGCATCTTGTTTATTACTTCTAAGATCTGAGGGTACCTTTTCTCAAAAAGAGAAAAAGAAAGGCGCATCATTTCAACAGAGGGAGCACACAAAGCGGGCGAAGCATCTGTGAGGGTGTCATTGAAATCTCACGGCAACCTGCTGGGGACGTTTCCAAGGGAGGAAGAGGGCGCGCCCACCCCCGTGTGATACCGTGTGATACTGATTTGACCTCAAGTCCCAGCTCCAGAAGCCACTGGGGAACAAATGCCCAATTGTAGACAAAATCTTTAGCATCTTCCTGCTTAAGCAGAGGTGGTGGGAGAGGGGTAGTAGTTTTAGATTTACTGGGAATTTTGAAACCAGAGACTTCCCTAAGCAGAGGGCTGGAGCCCACGGGTGGTGTCTGAATGCTAATTGGAGAGAGAATGACGGGGCTGCCAAAGAACTTTCTGGTGACTCTCCATGGCTCTTGCTGCTTCAGTCTTTGTTTATTTTTTTTCCATAGAACTTACCATCGTAACCATCTTTAAGTCCAGTTCAGTGGCTGTTGGGAAAATATGACTGAGGAATTAATGAGATGTGGCTCATAAAACCATTATTTTATTGTATAACCCAATATCACCATATTAAAGACAGAAACAGGAGTTTGCAGGGTTTTGCCCTAAAGGAATGTGTGGACTCAATGGTTCATTTATTAGAGGCTGCTATCATGGGAGAGCTCTCAAATCTCTGGTAGGGATGTTTTCCAGGAAGGCTTCCAGGTATCTCAAAATCTGTGAGCTTCCCTGTGTCTTGAAAGACAAGACAAGACAAGGCAAACATGGCCCACAGGATGGGAGCCGGAGACAATCAGTGCACTTTGCCCAGAGAAGCACCCGGTGGTTATAAACAACCTGTTTTATTAGAGATGGGTTCCCTGCTCTCTCCTGTCTGTCTACCTTTAAGTTCACCATAACTAATCAAAGATATATTGAGTCACTATACCTCTTTTGTTTTACCTTTGTTAATTGACAACTACTTCTTAGAACTTAAAAACTAGCCCTAAAAGACTTTTTACCTGTTTGTTCACCTAGATAGATTAGAAGCCCCTTGAGAGGACTTTTGACCCTAACTCACTACCTGTATTCCCTAGTAACTGTATTCCCTGATATGCAAATATGTTACCCTGATGACTGGTAATTGATGTCTGTGATTATAAAAACCTGTACGATTCTAACCATTTTGCTGGCAGTTATGGAGATCCGCCAGTCCCCTAGGTGCCCCCTGCTGTGTTATGTCTGATCTCTTTATATATAAATATATATTTATATAAATATATATTTTTATAAATATATATTATAAAATTATAAAATTATATATTTATATAAAAATATTATATATATTTATATAGTTATATATATGTATATATAACTATAAACTATACCTTAGTCTTTGTATATTCTTTTATTTCTCTTTGTTGCCTATCAATTTCCTTATCCTCTGTGGCGACTCCTATCTTTGGGACCTGGCTCCGTGAGAAGTAGCTAATCTCTCGGGCCTACCTCAACTACTCTTGCCCTGCAAGTGGCATTAAGTATATCCCCGTTACTGTGCAACCATCACCACCATCCATCTCCAGAACTTCTTTCTTCTTGTAAAACTCTGTCCCCATTAAATAATCACCCATTTCCCCCTCCCTCAGCCCCTGTCGACCACCATTCGACTTTCTGTGTCTGTGAATTTGACTACGCTAGGTAACTCATATAAGTGGAATCACGCAGTATTTGCCCTTTCGCGGATGGTTTATTTCACTTAGTGGAATGTCCTCAGGGTTTGTCTATGTTGTAGCCTGTGTCAGAATTTCCTTGCTTTTCGAAGCTGAGTGAGATTCTACTGTAGGTACATAGCACGTTTGGGGTTTTACACTTGGGTTGCTTCCACATTTTGGCTACGATGAATAATGCTGCTGTGAATATGGGTATACTTTACTCTGTGTTTTAAAAGAACAAAAAGTAGGCCTGGCTTCTAGCAGGGGAGATGCTTCTACTTTGGCAAATGTTAAAACTGGCCTCTGAGCAGGACTCCCCATGCAGGGTTGGGGATGGTTCTGGGTTTGTACAAAGCTGAGCCTGGGGCCTCCCTGCCCCAGCCTGAGGGTTGGGCCCTGGGAGAACTGGCTGACCACATGGCGTATGTCTTGGGGAGAAGTGTGGAAAGCTAGACCACGAGGGCTGCAACAGTGCAGTGAGCTGTCCGTGAATGAGTTCAGCTTCCTGGAGAGAGGACCCTGCGGCCACAACAGGGCATCGGTGGGCCCAGCATTCCCAAGTCCTCCTGGGGGTCCACACTTCTGCAGAGCGGCAGAGGAGGGTGCCCTGCAGGGGCCAGAGCAGGCTTCTGATGGAAGATGGTGGTGTAGCCAGGCAGCTGTGCTGGTGTCCTGGCTACACTGTGTGCTGCCACCAGGAAAACTGTGTGTCTAGCCCTCGGTTTCCTGACTTGAAAACTGGGACGATAATCACAGTGCCCAGCTCATGTGGTGGCTGTTAGCTTGAAATGTGACAACATATGTAAAGTAATCAGCATAATGTCTGGTCTCCATGACAATTTCAATAAATATTCGCCGTTGTCGCTGCTGCTGTTATTTCTCTCTTCCTCGAGACTAGACTTACTTGGATTCATTGAGCCCTTTGGACAGACTCATCCCCCCTGGGTTGTTGGACAGGTTCTAGGAGGTGGGGAATGGGCCGAGAGGCAAGTGTGTGTTTTTCTCATGATCATTGACTGACTAAGTAAACCCTTTCCTGCAAGGCAGGGAGGGGCTGTCAGTGCACACTGGTACTTTGCACTGTCACTCTTGGCTTCCCCTGCTTGACAGTGGGCCGCTGAAGACAGGAACTGGGTTTTACTCACCTTGCACCCTGTGTCCAGGATGGAGCAGGCCACAGTTCCGGCACCAATGTGGGCTCAGGGGCTCAGGCCCCAGGCCTTCCTCTTCCTCTTCCCGCAGATCCTGCCCTGGCCTTGGTTCAACCTCTGCAAAAAGGGCAGGCAGGCCCCAGACATAACCAGCAGGGCTTTCCCTAGGAGAACGCTGCAGTCCTTCTGGGGGCAGAGGGAGGAGGACTCGATGGGGTTGGAGATTTGGGGCCTTGGGGATGATTTTGCAAATTGCTGGTGTTTTCTGGGGATCAAATAGTCTCAGGTTCCTGGGGTCAGGGATGCCTGGAGCAGGGCCTAGATTCAGACAGCCCATCAGGGAGGAGTCTCTCGCACCCCTGTCCTGCCCATGCCCAGGAATTTCAGGGTCCCTTGTCTCACTGCAGTGCTGGCCCTGCCGCTGTGCAGTGAAGCTGCTCCTGACCCCTGCCAGGCAGTGAGTCGGGAGAGATGGTTTTGGGTCCTTGGCAAGCACAGACAGGCACAGTGAGAAGGACCACATTGGCCTGAGCCCAGGCTAACTTTCCAGTGCCTTTTCCCCTTCTGTCCACCACCAAGCTCATGTGCCCTAGAGTTCTGCCAAACCTGAGTTCAGTTCCCAGCTTTGCTTTCACTGAGAGTCAACCAAACCTTATCCCTCACCTCAAAACACAGAGGCTGTTGATAGCCACACAGGGGTGCTGGGAGGACCAGACAGGAGAAGATGCTCTAAGCACAGGCCCAGGTCTACTACGGAGCAAGGGCGGTTCCTTCCCTCCCTCCTCCCCCAGTGCTGGGGACACGCATGTGTCCCGGTGCCCCAGCTGCTCTCACGTGTCTCTTCCTGGACCAAGCTGCTCCTCCCTCCCTGGCCCTGCATCTTCCACCTCCCCTGTCCTGAGGCTGAAGTCCACACCCTCTGTGATGCCTTCTCCCACCCAGCTCAGGCAGAACCGATGGTCCTCTCCTTTGGGGCCCCAGTCCTTTTGTAGATCCAACGGAAGAGCATTTTCCTGGACTGTCCATGATCTGGCATTTCTGTGTTGCTGGTGTTTCCAGAGTTCAGGCATTTTTAACTGATATGGTGCTGAAGGGTTCTACAAGGTTCATTAGCACAGGAAGTAGATGTTTACACACCAGTGTATGCGCACAAGAGCAAGTCAACATTCTATGCCATTATTGCCAAAACAGGTTTCATGGATGATCAATATTCATTCACCTCTCTGGCTACAGAGAGCCCAAGCACACCAACTATAGGAATTGCAGACACTGGGCTGACTGCTGTTTGTAGCTTAGCAGAACACACCGTCATTATGTGCCACTCATCAAAGCAAATGTCCTGTCTGTTTTTTCTTTGATATCACTAAAATGTGATTTATAACTACAAAAGAAGCATTTTCCTATTGTCTTAGAATTTGAAGGAAATCTCAGCATGGAGAACAAAGGCTGATCAGAATCCTGACGTGGGAAGTGCAGGCTCCATCCGTGGAAGGTGGAAGGCTCTGTCCAGTGGCCATGCCTCCCTACAGTGTAGGTAAGAGGGGGATAGGGTTCAGGGGGAGACTTGCAGGGGTGAGAGGTGTTGGGCAGGAGATTAAGAGTTGGGATCCAAGAGAACCTCCCCCAGGAGAGAGGCAGCTGTCCCTCAGGGCCAATGCTTGTGCAGCTCCACAAACAGTGGCTGTTAGAGCCCTGGAGCACCAGAAAATCCAGCACACGTCCCAGGGTTTTTGGGCAAACGAAAGACAAGGGCAGGTGCCACCCCTCCCCTGGAGAAGTGAGAGCTAGGAGACAGGTGAGGCTTCGAGGAGGGAGGGGGACTGTGTGAGTGATACAAGGCAATGACAGACGGATGGGTGTCCCTTTGGAGCCCACTCAAGAGACCTGTCCGTTAGGTGTGTGGAACCCAGAAGAAGGTGGCTGCATGGGGCTGTCCAGGACAGGAACTGAATACAGGTCCTCAAATGTGAAGATGTGGTTTGGTGCAGGGGTGCTCATGAGGGTCTCTAAAGAACCAGTTCAAGGGCAGCCCCTGGATGCCTGCTGAGCAGAGAGATCCACAGCACCAGCTACAGACAAAGACTTTGCCCATGTGTCTTTCGTCCTCCCCCCACTCAGCTCCTGACATGAGGGTCCAGAAGCTACAGAGAGAGTGGGGGCCACAGCTTGGAGGTACCAGACCTCACTAGTCCCTCTTCTCCTGCTGCTGGCTCCCCAGGTAGAGGGCAGCCTGGCCAATTGGGTTGGGGTGGGATGGAGGATTATTCCTGAAAGTGACCTTGAAGCCATGGCCCCTACCAGAGGTGCCACTCAGGGGTGATAAGGGAGTAAAAAGACAGACTGTGTCTGAGGCAGTCTATTTTACAATGTACTTTACCAAATTTAGCTGTTCAATAGATAATTACCCAAAAAAGCAACGATCATAGAAGCATCTGCCCAGAGTGAGTCTACTCTGAAGATGCTTCCAGTTTTGGACTCTGGCACGTTCAAACTTCTACTGTATGTCTATTAGAGTGTGCATCAATTTGCAAAGCATGCATTTTTTTCATTCCCTCCTGAAACGTGGCTTTGGAGATGACCGTGCGCCGTGTGGGATGTGAACGTGATGAGTGAGCCGGGGCTGGGGGAGATGTGCAAACAGCGGGCAGAGCTCCTGGGCACTGTGGGGACAGAGTGCTTTCAGCCACAGAAGGCTGGTCCTTACCCAAACCTGGGGGGCGGGGGGAGCTAGGGGAGGCTTCTCGCAAGTAGATTTCTAAGCTGATTCCTACCCAACACGTAGGAATTATCTGGAGGAGAGCAGAGCGCCTGCAAGTGAGAAAGCCTCAGAGGCTGGAGGAAGTGCTGTGTGTGGCTGGTATGTAAAGCGAATGGGGCGAGAGCAGGTGGCGGACGGGGTGATGAGCGGGGCCTTGTTCCACGCTCCCTTCTCCTGGAGCTAGAGCAGGTCCTTCCATTGTAGATGGGCAATAGACATACTCGGTGTGGTCTGATTGCTTTGCGGAAGAACACTCTGGCAACAGCTCGGAGAGTGGGTGGGGCGAGCTGGGGAGGGGAGGCAGTGATGCCAGGTCTAGAGGCTGGGGAGCAAGATAGGCCACAGCTGCAGTAATCTGGAGGGAGGACTGCCCGAGCTAAGCAGGGGGTAGTGAGCACCAAAGAGATGCGGCTGGGAAACAGGCACTGCTCATCCCACTGGCACAGGAGGGAAGTGGTTTTTGGAGAGAATAGGAAACTTATTCATGCTCACAAAATTAAATTAGATCATTTGATTCTTCGTGGTCTTTGGAGAGGAGGAGGTGGAGGAAAGGGACCAACAAGGCAGAAAAGAATTGAAATGAAAGGAAAAATAAATATAATTTCATCAATACGAGCGTGGATTCATCAGTGCACCCAGGTCTACTGGGGGCCTTCTGTTGGGTAATAATGACAGTGGAGAGACCTGCGCATGTAAAACTGGACCCAGCCCTTGGCAAATCCCATCTCTGACTCAGCCTCTCCAGTTCCCTAAGATTTGACTATTATTTTCATGTTATCATGTTTCTATGCTAATAAAGAAGGCAATATTGTCTGTGCAAAGATTTAACGTCCATGTGATTTCCTGCGTACATAGAACATCCCTCCCCCCAAAGGTCGTCAAATGACTTTGAACTGTGAAGTCTTGACATTTCCTTGTCCCCAGAATTTTTTTGCCATGGAGAGTTGGATACTGGGACGAGCTTCAGGAGCAGCAGGCTGGGGAGGAGGAGGGGAGGCTGCAGCTCACTCCGCTCGTCATTGCTTTTTAATCTCAGTGTACTTGCACTTCTAATTGGCATCATAAAGTGTCTCTGGAGAGAGAAAAGCCCAAAACACTTAACAGCTATCATGGTCCTGGATAAAAAATAATTAGCTGAAAAAAAACCCTTGAGTTTAAAAATTATGCTTTTCCTTAAATGGTAACATCCATTAGAATGAAAGGAGCTCCCATTTACTACGCACCTTCTGTGGGCCAGACGCACTACATGTGTCGCTCTCAAAACAACTCTCAAAACAGGGTTCTAAGGTAGATAATGTCACTCCCATTTAAAAGAGGGGAATGGCGGCTCAGGAGATTTTAGTGACATGCCCAGGGGCAAGCTGTTGTAAAACAGACCCCTGTGAGTCCAGAACAAACTTTCTGTGACACTCTGCTGATTCCAGACCAGGAGCCATTGTCACATGGCAGGTTGGTGGTTTATGGGTTCAGCAGCAGTGGAGGAATTTAGACTGGGTTCAAGGAAGGACTTGCTGATCATTAAATGGTAAGATGGAGGGATAAGTTATAGGTGGCCTTTATTTAGTATTTTGATTATGTCTATAGGTGTTTGCCAGCACTACTTCCTTGCAAAAATGTGTGTCCTGTTATGTTGTACCAGCATATCTCTGTCATTACAGTAATTGATAATGTGTTAGGCATAGTAATACTAGATGCTTTCAAATACTAGATCTCTTTCTATCCTGACAAATTATTATTATTTTTTTAGTAGAGATGGGGTCTTTCTCTGTCACCCAGGCTGGAGTGCAGTGGTGTGATCACAGCTCATCATAACCTTGGTGAATTGCAGCAGCAAATGTTCTGGGCTCAAGTGATCTTCCTATCTCAGCCTCCCGAGTAGCTAGGACTATAGGTAGATGTCGCCATGCCTGGCTAATTTTTTTATAATTTTCATTTTTGTAGTAAAAAGTTCTCTCTCTGTTCCCCAGGCTGGTCTAGAATTCCCAGGATCAATCAATTTTCCCACATTATCCTTCCAAAGTGCTAGGATTATAGGTGTGAGCCACCACACCTGGTCCCTAACACATTCTGTAGAGTAGTTGTTATAATTCAACTTAAGTAATAAGGAGCCTGAATCTCCGAGATGCCAACTGACTTGCCCAGAATCACACCATGCGAGTACAACTCTCTATCCCGAGAGCTTGTGTCCTCTGCAGTGTCAGGATAGTCTGAATATGTACTGTTTTGCCAGGGTGGCAGGAAGATGCATGGAAAAACTTCATCAGCTGTCCATCAAGGCCTTGCTCTCTAAAAGGAAGATGGTGGCAGTTCAATGACAGTTTCAGATTAAACATTGACCTACATACCTGGGCAGGACCTGGACGGGATACGAGTGTTGGAAATGAGGATCCAAGGAAGCGACTTCTTCGGACTTTTATGTACCCACCAATGGATCCTGTAGTTTCTCGTAGGGGGAGGTATCCTTTTATTCTGCAGGTCAGAAGGACCTCCACCGCCCTCAGCGCTGGCTCAAAGTCCGTGTGCAGCAATAAGCCTCCCTTTTCCTGATTTCCCACATCCCAGGGCTACCAGTCCTATCAAGCCCAGGTTGGGATGACTGGATGCAGGTGCTCTCCTGCCCCTGGTTACTGCCCTGGCTCAGCCTTGTCCCATCCTCCCTCAGCCTCTCCTCAGGCTCCCTCCTCTGGAACTGATCTTCTGCTTTGTGCCAGATGAGTCGTTTTGTTTTTTTAATGGAGTACTTGTTTAGTTTTATATTCAATTAACTATATATACACTCTAGAAAATCTTGAAGCTACCCTCCCCCCAAAAAAAAATCATTCCAGAGAAAAAACAAAATCAGATTTTGGACTCTCTCCTTCCGATTTTTATCATGTAAACATCTTTATAGTAACTGAAATTAAATACCAGTTGTTAACCAGGGTGGGAGGCCACTGGAGCCCCAAAGGAGATGACATCAGAGGAGGGATTCGAGTGGAGAAACCAAGTCATCCCTCCCCACCTCCTCCACCCAGAAGGAATCAAGATTAGGACATTATAGTTTTCCTTGTGTGTACAGCCAGAGAGTCCCTAAAATCCCATGGAGAACCTCCCAGTGGAAGACTATTATTTGTTCAAAATATTTTCTTGAATCCATCTATGCAAGAAGACTATATTTTCTACTGATATGAGATTTGTGCATATGATTTGCCTAGTCCAGTCAAATGTAAGTGGGAGTGACATGTACCAACCCTGGTGGGTGTCTCCAGGTGTTTCTTTCTCTTTCTTTTCCCTGTGTCATGAGTCAGGTTTGTCCTGGATAGAAGCTGCTCCTTAGTCCTGGAATGCAGAGGTGTAGAGCAGAGAAGTACCCCACTTACAGCTAGAGATGAATATGACTGTGAGCAAGAAATAAACCTTTGCTTCTGCAATTCACCAAGACCTGGGGGAATGATTTATTTCTGCAGCATAAGCCTTAAGTTGACTGATAGCCCCCTGTTGATGGCTGGGGCAGCCACTCAAGGTAGATACCTGGGGCAGATCTAAAACCTGAGGACTAGAAACATCCTAATAAAATGTTAGCACTATGCAATTCAAGGAGATCTGGTGGTTGTGAGGATATAGGAGTGGGACAAGATAAGAGAAGCATGCTCTTCCTAAAGTGGTAATTATGCTAAGGAGGACCCAAGAAAATGAGATACACCATGAGCAATGTGAGCCATCATTCATCTGGTGCTTTCTCTGTGTTAGTAGCCCTGCTGAGTGAGATGACAGGCATTATATCATTTGATCTTCCCCCCAAGTTCTAGAAAGCAGATGTCCATTATTAGCAACATTTTAAAGCTAAGGAAATTGAAGCTTAGGGACGTTAGTAACTTACACACTCATGTAACTCGTACACAATGGAGCAATAATTCATCTCTAGCATGTGCCTTCTCATAGGGGTGGATTCCTGGCCACGATGCAGAGCTGCTAATAAAAATCTAGCTCCTGGGCAGAGCCATGTGCGGTGGGAGGTGACAGTGGGCAAGGCTTGTGAGAGCAAATCACTCTACTGGAGTACCCAGAGGGCACTGGTTTTGCACCTTTCCTTCTGAGGGAAACCCCTCAAGGCAAGATTTGGTGGGTTTGTCACAGCTGGCAAAGGCTTAGATCTGAAATTAGGGGCAAAGCAAGAAGGTCTAGAAATTTAAATTATATCCACTCATATTCTCAAGATTTGTTCTGATTGTAAAAATAAAGCAAATCCTGTGAACTATTATCAGTTGGAGTGCAAATGGAAGGAATCCCATTGGAGCCTGTTTATGCAAGAGAGAGAATTGGGCTGTGGAAAAACTGAGGCAGTTCCCAGCCCCAGGGACAGGAAGATGGCAGGGCTCAGGGACGTCTGAAGCCAGAGCCCGAGACAAGGGGAGACTCCAGCCTGCTCTTCTTTCTTCTATTTCAGCTGCTGTCATTTCTCAAGTTCTCCAGCCTTTTGTTTCAGCCACCTGGAAAGAGCCATCTCAGTTTCATTTCTAAGAACCTGAACAAAAGACTGATTTGGTGCAGTTTGGCGTAGGTGTCCAGACCTAAGCCATTGGTGGTAGCCTGGTATGTATGTGGTCACATTGCTCACTTGGCTGCTCTAGTGTTACTGGGCTTGGGAGGTAGAAAGTTCCAAAGGAGGTGCTGAGGGCGGGGCCGGCAATGCCATCAAGGTTCAATACACACGTGCCCCAGAACCTATCTGGACCAAACAAAAATAATAAGTAAGGGGTGGAGGAAACAAAGAATCCTGTCTCCCAGCGGCAACCAATCAAAATACCCTAGTGTAGTTCACTGTATCTTTCCAGTACAATGTTCCTCTACATGGCTGAAACTGTCTTGTATATACTATGTTAAAGTACAGTTAACACAGGCAAATTCTCGGTCTTGGGTAGAAGACGATATGAAGAGAGGTTTATTGTAAGATAATATTCAGCACCGAGGGGTTCATTAGTTTTTTCAATTAAAAAACAAACCCAAGGCAGAATGTTAAAAATTCAGGACATTGGTTATGAAATTTAAAGTTGCAGTGCACATAATTACACAAAGGCCACTAAACTTAACATCCTCCTCCCCTGGTTAATTTTTGTTGATCTCAACTGAAATCCAAACTCCTGGACACAGCAAACACGGACTTTAGTCAACAGGCCCTTGTCCTTTCGCCCTCGTCAGTCTAAAACCCTAACCTGATTCATGTGATTGAAGTGTAAGCAAGGATTCATTTACTGACTCACGCATCACACATTTTCAAGATGGGCGCTGGAGGTACAGAGACGAGCATGGCACGTTTTTGCTTGAGAAGGCTGGCAGGGCAGCAGAATGAGTAATCTGGAAATATTCGCACGGGGGTAAACACCGTGATAGAGGGAAGCCAAGGGCGCTCTCAGGCACGTAAAACCTTGAAGACCTCACAGGTTTTCCAGGTGGGGGTGGGGTGGGGAGGAGAAGGCTGGTTGTAACTTGATTTGGCTCATGGAGCCAAGAGCTGGTAAATCGCAGCGTCTTTCTGTTCCAATTTTTCCAGGAAATTGGCACCAAAATCTTTAGTCCCATCTCCCCTGTGGTCTGTCTGCCCTCTTTGCCATCCATTTCTGTGGTGTCCCTGGTCCCCAGTAGAGGAAGTGGCCTGGAGGAAGGGGAATGCCTTTGCCTCGAGGTCCCTCCCTCCCCGGCCTTCCAGAGCCTGTTCCAGCCCCTGCCATCCATCCGTGGGGCTGGTGGCCCTGCTCTCTGTGTCCCCCTGCCCCGTGTGTCCCCCTGCCCCTTCGGCCCTGTTTTCTGCACCCACTAGCATTTGCTAGATGTGACGAGTCAGGCCTGCCTGCCACACTATGGGCCATTATGCCATTGTCAAAGTCGGCATTTCACTTTTCCAGTTGTTGAGTTGCCTTCTGCGTGTGTAATTGCAAACAGGATCTTTTTCCTTTTGGGTCCACTGCTTATTTAATAGCGGAGTCACAATAGGAAAATGGGTTTAGTCAGTGAAATTAATTATGGAGAACACTTAGTGCCTCTGCCAAGATGTCTGCCCAGAGGTTGTTCTGACTGTAACAGAGAAAAGAAGCTCCTGATCCTCAGATGAATGGGGACTGGGTGAGTAGGTCTGGAAGCCAGGCAGGTCCTGGACTTCAGAGTTAGGTGGGAGTGTGTGTGTGTGTGTGTGTGCGTGCATGCATGCACACGTGTGTGCCTATCTCTGTGTGTCCATGCATGTGTGTGCAGCTATGCTCACACAGACACTGTGTGTAGGTGATTGTGCATGCACAGATGATTTAGGAAGGTGAGAGTTCATTCACTCATACATGTATTTACCAATAGCAAAAATACACTGGATGACTATTCCAGGTTTTGAGCTAGGCACTGGGGATTTTTAAATGAATATGTAGAGATTTCTACCCTCAGGCAATGCACGCAGTCAAGAGCAGGGTTTCTCAATTTGGCATTATTGACATTTTGGGTCCTTAATTCTTTGTTTGGGAATGAGGGCTGTTTTATGCACTGCGCAGTGTTCACAGCATCCCTGGTCTCTGCTCACGAGATACTCGCAGGGAAATGCCCCTGCTCCGCAGTTGTGACAATTAAAAATATGCCCAAATAATGCCAACATGTTATCTAAGGGGCAAAATTGCCTCCATGAGAAGGACTGTTATCAAAAATATTGAAGCAGGTAAATTTTGACAGTGTAAAAGGAGTAGTTTTAAAAAAGAGATATGCATTGATGCTCTAGGAGTTCAGAGGACAGGGGATAAGGAAGGGCAAAGAGGTTTAAAAGGAAGATGTTGTTATCCCAGGCGACTTTAGCCAATTGGCAAGCCAAACTCCAAACATGGGGCTCTTCCATGCAAGACAGGGCTGGATGGTGAGCAGCTCTGGGCCTGAGTACAAAGGGAATTCAGTCACTCACTTGGTGCAAGGCAGGGCTGTCTCACGGAACTCAGATATCAGGGGCTCCCCTCCAGGGTGGAGCCTGGGCTGGGTGGGGGTGCAGGGCCCAGGAGAAAAGGGGTGTAGATTAATATCACTGGGATCATGGGAGAGGGAAAGAGGGAGGAAGGCCAGAGAGGGATGGGAACCCCACTGTCCTGCAATGAACTCCAGATGAACTTCATGAGAAAGGAGAGGGGAGCTCTGGGCCACGACTTTAATGGTGGTTTCAGATGCATGCATGCCTTTATATTTGTCATGGACTAGTGGGAAGCATGTGGCTCATAGAAGGTGGCCATTAAAGCAAAGGAGGAGCCGAGAAAATTGCAGCTTTCCCAGTCTGTATGCTGGTGGAGGCTTTCCACTTCCTCTGTGAACTGTGAGATGAAGTTGCCATCGCTGACCTCCACGTGTTCATCCTCCGCCTGCAGCCACAGAGCTGCTATTTCAGGTTCTCTAGCTGCCTCACATTGCGCAATTCCACCCTGCAGACCGCAGGGCACCCGAGTGTGATTCCTGTTTTCTAAATGCTTTGGTGATGACATCACACTGGGGAGGTTTGCTCTTGGTCTTGTGAAGGTCACATCACTAGGGCAGGAGCAGGTGCCACCTGTCAGTCACTGGGGGGAAGGCAGGCCCTTGGCAGGAGCTCAGCAGAGAGAAGGGACTGCCTTTCTGATCTTTCTTTCTTTACTATGAAGATATTTGGATTTCAAAAAGAAGGTAATGCAGGGATCATGCCTTGTGACTCCCGATTGTGAATGGGGATTAGAGCCGGTATGGGTGGATTCCTCAAGGAGACTGCCACAGGCTTGGAGGAAAGGTTCCCTTTCTTATTCTAAAGTCCCGGAGCTCTTGTGGGAGGGCGAGGGGGGCCTAAGGTTGGCGTGGGGGCCCTGTGAGAGCTCTGGTGGGCACTGGGTCCTGGGAAAAACTGCCCCTTGGAGCTGCTGAGAACTACACAGCTCACTCTGCTCAGAGCAAAGAAGGGAGACCCATAGGCCTGGGAGACACGCAGTCTGTGTGGGGCGGAGGGCCACATGGTCATCGTATGCTGTGCCTGGCACATGCCAGGTACTCAGACAACATAGCATTAAATAGAGCAGACTTGTCTAGTCTCAACCGCATCACTCATCCTGTGTAATCTTGGCAGAGCCTCACTGTTCCCATCTGCAAAGTGGGGATCTTAACATCAACCTTGGAGTGTTTTTAAGATTAAATGAGATCATGTATGTAGACACTCTTTGTAAACTTTAAAAGGATACACAAAGCAAGAATGGAAGCTGCCTGTCTGTTGACACTTTTGTGAATATTCCGAATGTTAATTTGGAGTCTGAAAGTGCCAATTTCCTCCCGGGCATTGCCCATTTCTAATAGTTTTCTGTGCTGTACAAACACACGTTATCTGCCTGGGGCCCAGGAAAGCTATTTTCATCTTCAATGAAAAATAAGTACAGCTTGTAAATATATTTTTTCTGTACTAGTCTTTGTGTTCATGAAGGTTGTTCAGAATTTACTAGAATGTCACTATCTAGAGACAATGTCTGGAAAGAGAGCAAGCTAGTTGGGGAGGGAGCAGAATTTTGCTCTTTGTAAGTCAGACTGTTTATTTCCCCGCTATCCTCCTTAGCTATCGGTTAACAGTTTTTGGAAATCTCTAGTAGGTCCCAGCAATACCTGAAGGACGAAGGGCTGGGGTCTGAGGCTCTGCTGCAGCCGAAATGTAGAAGGGCAAGGTGAGGGCCAGAGGGTGAACTGCAAAATTTTCTCTTGCTGCTGTAACAAATTGGCATAAACTTAGTGGCTCGAGAGGTGCAAATTCATCCTCTTACAGTTCTAGAGGTGAAGAGTCTAAACCAAGGTGTCAGTCGGGCTGCCTTCCTTCCGGGTACTCTATGGGCAAATCTGTGTCCCTCGCCTTTCCAGCTTCTAGAGGATGCCTGTGTTCCTTGGCTCCTGGCCACGTCACCCTGACCTCTGCACCTGTGGTCAAACCGTCTTCTCTCACTCAGACCCTCCTGCCTCCCTCTTATGAGGTCTCTTGTGATGACATTGGGCGCACCCAGATAACCCAGGTAATCTCCCATTTGCGAGATCTTTAATTTAGTCACCTCTGCAAAGTCCTTTGTGTTACGGGCTGAATGTTTGTGCCGGCACCCCCTACCCCCCGCCAACAAACCATATGTTGAAGGCCTGACCCCCAAGGTGATGGTCTCTGGAGACGGGGCCTTTGGGAGGTGCCTAGGGTTGGGCTGGGTCATGAGGATGGGGCCCTCACCATGAGATTAGTGGCCTTATTGGGGGCGAGCACAGAAGAAAGGCTGTGTGAGGAGGCAGTGAGAAGACAGCTGTCTGCACCACCGCTTGACCTCTGCCTCCCTCTCAGTGGCATCCTCGGTCCTGGCTCCCTCTTCTGCATTCCCACAGCACTTCTCCAGTGTCTCGGTTACTGGGTCCCGCTTCCTCCAATGATCCAGGACTCTCAACTGCGGAGACAGACAAGGGCTCCAGGACCTCCTCCAGCACCTGTGCTCACTCTGGGGGAAGATTTCCCCCCAAAGCTGCCGGGCCCTGGGAGGCATGTCTGCCCTGTGTTAGGTCCTGGCACAACACCATGGGTTTGCTGGTGACAAGTAACTGATGCAGGGGGGTCTGGAGGTGGCCAGACCTACCACGTAGACCAGATGCCATCACTGACCGGCTCCGGTGTGACCGTGGACACGCCACTTCAACTTCTTCACCTGGGAATAGGGGCTGATGTTCTCCATTTTGAATGGACTTGAGGGACACTGAATCCAACCACTTTTTCAGGTTTTGAGGAAAAAGGTTCAATTTATTCATCTCTGCAACGTGAAGCATAATAGGGTTTTGGGAGGGGTAGAGATAATACGTATGCAATGCTGCCACGTGGAAGGTACTCTACACGTAGGAATTATGGTGGCATGATTATGTTTCTTGGTCTCACCGATGTTCTGTGTTCTCCCATTTACTGGAGCCTATGCAAGTAGAGTGTCCAAGAGCCACACCAGGAGCTGCTCCAGTGGTTCTGAGCTCACAAGACACGTCTCCCCAAGTTTGAGTTGGCACTAGTTATGCGCACCTTTGTTCCTTTTATATTTCTGCAAACTCTGAGTGAGGAGAGAATTTCTTTCCCAGGCAGCATCTAAACCACAACATGTTCTCTGTCTTCATTCTCACCCACTTGGTTATTTATTTTTTGTTTTTTTTTTCGCCTCTCCCTTTCAGGCTTTTTTTTTTTGTCCTTTAGATGTGGTGGCCACGCTATCAGGACTGTGGAACTGGTTTTCTGTGATGAATAATACCATGGCCCTTCCCTAAACAACAAAGAAGGGATCATGAAGCTACTCAAAAGAGGCCAATGTCTGCTTCTAGAACATAGGGCTTTGGGAGAAAAAAGAAAGAGGGAGGCTAAAGTCCTGGAGTGAAAAGATAAATGCCTTTATGTACAAATTAAATTAAATCAGCTAAGTAGTAAAATAAATTAAAAAATATAAACACATTTATGTAATTAAAATATTACTAAGTATTGAAATATATGTACATATATTAAAATATTATTATGATAATAAAGATGGACTACAGCTAATCAAAGTGTGAATGATATTTTTCATAGCTGAAAATAACCTAAAGAAATCAATTTTATAACTAATATCCATTTAGCATCCTTTATGCCCTGGAAACAGGTCAGGAGCTTCCCATTCTGAGGCCTGGAGGAGGTGCTCACAAGCATGGTCTGTAGTTCTTGATCAACTATTTCCAGCTCTTGGTCCTCTGGTGAGATTGTACTTCCTAACCTTCTTTAGGTGTGGCCGTGTCACTGGTATTGGCCAATGACAGGTGAGCAGAAGTGACACATGTTCCACCTTCGTGGGACTTATAAATGCTGGTGAGCAATTTGTCAAGTCTGCTTCCCCCACCAATCACGGTCATGAACCTGACGGGGCTGCTCCGTGTGCCAGGTTCTGGAGGGAAGACAGCAGGGAGCAAAGACCCCAGCCCAGCCTCCAGGGACTGCCAACATAAGAGGGAAGTAAAAGCAGGTGGTTTTAAGCCATGAGGATTTTGCATTACTTGTTACATAGCACAACCTAGTTTTTTCTGCCTGATGCAAAAATATTATGCTTTTTTGCAGACACCAACTTCTTACTTTGTGAGTCTGTCTCTTAACCACAAATCTGTTGCCTTTATGGTTTCTCATCTGCCACTCACCAGGGAGCAATTGCAGTTCACGGTCTTAAGGTCCTTTATGCACAGTGTCTTCCCTTCTGCAGCCCAGCATTTATGAAGATGCTATGCTCAGGTGGGGGCACGCATTGCTGCATTTTCTTCCCAAGATCTCATTCAGAAAAATCTGTGCTTTGTCCCTGACCCTAGTCTCCTCATTGTTATTATTGTCAGTGAGTTTTGTAAATGTTGTAAGTATCCCCCCTCCACACACTTGATCCTCAGCATTGTTGAAAACTTAGAGAAGTGAAGGTGAATGGAGTATAACTTTCCCGATGGGAGTCTGAGTTTGTAAAGGGATTGCTCTAGGTTCTTAATTTCCTACAGATGGGAATTTCCCAGAGTCAAGTCTATTAATGCGAGTTTTTCACCAGTCAACGTTGCTCTGTCTGCGTCTGGGCGTAGAGGGTTAGCACCAAATTCCGTAAGTGTTGAGCCAGCGCTGGGGGCCTTCAGGGAGGGGGCACCGTTGTTTCCAGAGACCATATCTTAGCTGGGGCTCCTGAAAGTACAAGGAGCAGGAATGAGGATTTGTGTCTAGATGGTTTATCTGGCAGGTGGTCAAGGAAGCAGAGTAAGGAAACAGGGGGGAAGGACTTGCTAAGGCAGGGGTGTCTTACTGAGGTCGTTGCCGTGGACAGTGGGGCACTGTGTCTCCAGGGATATCTGAGAAACACACGGGATGCTGCCCGGAGTTGTTGGCAGGAAGGGCAGGGAGCGCTTCCCTCCCACTTCCCCTCGTTGACGGCATGCTTAGGGAGGAGAGTGCGCACAGGCCACGTGTGCCCAAGGCAGGGTTCCGCCGACACCGAATGAGCCAAAGTCCCCTGGAAACGTCCATACCAGGAGCAGCTGAAATCTAAGGGGCAGAGAATGGGAGTCACAGGGACAGTGACAGTTGTGTCTGCTTCCATACTGTGATGCGATCTGCAATAAAAAGTGTGTGCCTGGTATTTTTAAACACCACTGCTTTCCTGGAAAGGCAGGCTCACTGCGCCCTGTCGCCAACGTGGTGGGTAAGGGTGACGTGGGGTAACGTGCACTCTCCAGAAACCAGCAAATGCACCTTACACTGCCTTCCATAAGGCAGTCATCGAATCCTGGCTGTTCTCTGTGACTGGGGAAACTGAGGCAATACAGCCAACTTTTCCAGTAAGGTTCTCATTTGACCTGGCCTCAGGGTCCCCTTTTTCCTGCATGGCTCTTCCTGCAGGCCGTGTCTTCTCTCGGTAGGACCTGCACATGTGCCCCAGGTGAGAGGTCTGCCCAGGACTGCGTTGCTGCTGTGCAGAAAGAATCCGATGCCCTTAATCGTGCAGCCTTCCCACACGGAAACAGGGACGGAGACTGGCGCTTGGAATTGCCACTGGTAGGGGTGCTGCTGGGTTCGCGTTTCTTTTTGCAATATGCCATCTGTAGGAGAGAAATTGATTTTTTAAAATAAACAGGCTTTGTGTAAAATGCATACATATGTATGGCACTATTATTAGGCTTTGCAAATGCCTCTCTCCCCCTGAAGAACTGCCCGAGTGTGGCTCCTCTTCTGTCGGCATGCAGGTGCTCATGACCAGGGTTCACGTGTCAAGGAGGGGTTGTGTGCCACTGGCCCCTCTCACAACCTCTGAGCCCTGAGCCTCGTGGAGGGAGGGCCTAGGGTGACCATTTAATGGGCTTTTCCAGGCAGGGAGAAAGCTGCGGAGGCTTTACTGCTCTTGGCCAATGACAGATACAACCTTAAACATTTGTATTGATACAGAATTATAGCATAGGGGTTCAAATAGCAATAGCACCTGAACATATCGGGGTCTTCACTGACCATACCACAACATGGGTTACTAGCATGATGTGGCTGCTTCCAAAAGCAGAGCCACAGAATTCTAATATGACACCTGTGATGGTCACATGTCATCTCAGCGAGGCTGTAGTATCCAGTTAGTTAATCAAGGAGTAATCTAGGCTCCTGGGCAGGCGTTTTGCAGATGTGGCTAATGGCTGCAATCAGTTGACTTTAAATAAAACAGATCACCCTTGATAATGTGGGTGGGCCTTGTCCAATCAGTTGAAGACCTTACGAGCAATAACAGGTTTCCCAGAGAAGAAGAAAGACGGCCTAAAGACAGCAGCACCCACTCCTGCCTGAGTTTCCAGCCCGCTCACAGGCCCTGCAGACTTCAGACTTGCCAGCCCCACAGTTACATGGGCCAATTCCTTAAAATAAATCTCTTAACATCTATATATGCATGCATAGACAAATATAGTATGTCTCAAGAGATGTATTGAAATCTATGTCTGTCCCTCTATAAAATTTCTATATATCTGTCATCGGCCCTCCCCTTACCCTCTGAGGGCCACGCCTCATCTCATCCACACTCATGACTTCAAATCACCTTTCCCTGAATATTCATTTCCAGCCCAGGCGTCTCTCTGATGCTCTAGGCCAGGGGTCAGCACACCACGGCCCTCGAGCCAAATCCAGCCTGTCACTTCCTTCTGTAAATCAAACTGACTGGAACTTGGCCATGTCCATTGGTGTGAGGGATTTCCAGTGACGGCAGCGGAGGTGAGCAGTTGTAACAGACACTGTGTGGCCCACAAAGCCAAGAACATTTACTACTTGGCCATGTACAGAAATAGTTTGCTGACTTCTGCTCTGGACCCAAATATCCAACTTCTCTATGCAATCTATGTGGTCTTCCTATGGGACCCCAACCCACAGAGGCCCAACTCATTTCCTCCCCCTTCTTTTTCCATCTCAGGAACAAAACCTCCCTCCATCCATTTGTTCCAACCAGAAACCCCGGAGTCATCTTCGACTTTCTCTATGTCTCCCACAGCCGGGCACCCAATCCCATGTCCAGTCTCACAAATCCAGTTTCCTGAGTAGCTCTTGGGTATCTTCCCCCATGCCCTGGTACCCCGGATCCCCTCTAGCTGTCTGGGACAGTCTTCTCAGCGTCTGCTGGCTCCCTCTCCTCCTGTCTGCAGAGGATCTTCCTAAAGCAAAACCAAGAGGATCTTCCTGTGTTCTTACAAGACACTTCAATGCGACGCAGTTTCTCTTAGGACAGTCTAACTTCCTGGGTCCTCTATGAAGCTGTCACTGGCCAGGTCCCGCCCACCCCCTGCCTTCCAGCTCCAGCCATCATCTCCAGTTTCTAGAAACTTCCATATGCCTGCTGGACTCTGAGGTTTGCACATCCTGCTTCCTCTACCTGCCCTGCTCTCAGCTCTTCCTTTCTTGCTCACCTCCAAGGGAACCTCAGCCCGCTGGAGACATGGCTGTCCTGGGGGAGCTTCCCATGGCCTTCCAGGCTTGGCATGTGCCGTGGGGGCTTCTCTGGTCTTTTCATTTCACACTGTAACTTCCAGTTCTCTGCCTGATCCTCCAGTTGACCGTCAGCTCACCCCAGGCAGGTCCTTCTGTTTGCTCTCCAGGGGACCCACAGGCCTTTTGTGAGTACATGAAGGCATGAGTATCTGGGCACTGGCCTGACCCAGCTGCCAGGAAACAGAAGTAAGGGTGGCTTCCATGTCACCCAAGCACAGAGAAGTGCAGCTGTTCTTCGGGGGAGGCGGTGGCCGAGTGACAGAGCCGTGGACAGTGGCCTGGCTTCTGTGCCTGGGGGATGCTGGGGCAGAGTGGGAAGCTCTGGTGCAGTGGCTCTTTCTATTTAGACTGGCAGCCTCTCTGTGTCCCTTCTTTCCTCCCCATTCATCTTCCTCCTCTTTCTTCCTCTTCCTCACTCCCTCAGTCTCTTCTCCTTTCTCTCTCCTTCCCACCAACCTCCCCTCCCGTCCCGTCCCCTTCCCTCTCCTACAGGTGGGCAGCACTAAAATATGTCACCCCAGTGTTGTGCAACCGTTGGCAGCTTTGTCTGCCTTAAGCAATTTTAACACAAGTTAATAACCTTTTATTAAGCTTATGTTGAATCCTCACATGTGTCAGGCATGTGCTGAGCCATTGTCATGTGGACATGCATCAAACACACAGGATTCCTTTAAAGTGGGTATTGTCATTTAAAGATGAGAAAATCGCATCACCTGTGATTCAGGAGGTGCAAGACACTTCAGGGAATGGAAAAAGCATTTAATTAGTGTTCTGCTGTCTCAAAGGACACATAACCCAATGGAGGGCTAGCAAAACACCCCAGCGTCTAAGGAGAGCTCTAGGGAGGGGATGTCCCTTAAGCATGTCTCTTGCTGTCCCCTCCCCACCCTCTGGCCTGTTTGGTTTTTCTTTACTCACATTGTGGATCTTACAACAAAGACTGCTGGATGCTCAGCAGAAATCTCCAGCACCCTGCTGCACACCG